GGAAAAGCTCTGGAAAAGGCAGAAAAGGCTCAGGAAAATCTGGAGAAGGGTTTGGAAAAGCTGGAATATGTCTGGAAAAGCGCTGGGTTTTCCGTGCAGAGGACGCTCACGTTTCTGGCAGGGCCAGGAGGGGCAGTGGGAAAAGTGACGCTGCCGGGGCTGGGGAGGGCTGAGAGCAGCGGAGGAGCCGGCGGCCCCCAAACGTTAATTCCTTCCAGCTGCTGTCAGGCTGGCAGGTTCTCAAAGGAAGTTTAATAGACTGCAGCCGTCTCCCCTCGGCCCCGTCCCCCCATCCTGCCAGAATCTGGGATTACATGAGCTGCTCTGCCTTCCAAAAAACCCAGGTTTATTTTATTTTATTTTACTTTTTATTTTATTTTATTATTTTGTTTTCCCCCCCCTTCGGCTCTGGGAGTGTTTTCTTTTCTGTGTGAGTGTGCGCGCACGCACGTGTGCTGTCTTCCAGCTGAAGCTGCCCCTTGGATTGCAGGGATTTTGGGGGGATTTCGGGGTGGCACAGAGCAGGAGTGGGGGTTGGAATGAGGAGAAGGAGGAGGGTGAGGAGGAGGAAGAGGAGGAAGAGGAGGAAGAGGAGGAAAAGGCTCCCTGGGCCTCCTTGCTGGAGCGCTCCCCAGCCCCGCCGTGTGAACGGGGAGGAAACAGGATGGAGAAAGTATTTGGAGTGGAAAATAAAAACGCTCTCCTGCTTTATTGATCGTGATTGAGGACAGAAATAGCCCAGGCTGCTGACAGCCCTCCCCAGCGAGGCAGCAGCCAAACGTGGGGCTCATCCAGGGAAAAACCAGGAGGGGTCTGGGGAGCTCAGGGCAGGTTTGGATCTCAGGGGCTCCTGCAGGATTTCCAAACCTCCCCTTGTCCCTTTTCCAGGGGCTGAGCAGCCCCTGGAATCCATCAGCAATTAAACAACGAGCTCCCATCATTAAGATTCCCATTCCCTCCAATGTCCCAGGAATGATCAATCCCCAGCAAGGATGGTAGGAAAAGGAAACCCCTGTGCCCAGCTGGCATCGGGCACTGCCCACCCCAGGGAGCACTGGGGGCACCCTGAACCAAAATACTGATTTAGGTGACTTAAAAATCATGAATTTTAATGGATTTTAGCCAATTTCATTGAATTGTTTCACTTAAAACATCAAACTCAGGGGCAGCCAGGTTGGGGAAGGTGGGCAGGGAAACCCAGGGTGCCCAGGAAAGCCTGGCAGGATCAACACAGTGTGGGCACGGTGCTCCAACTCTGAGAAAACCATAAAAACCAAGTGCTGGCAGGAGAATAATTAGTTAAAACCAAGCACATCTGTTGTTAATTAATTCCCAGGCAGGAGGGTTTAACTCTTGCCCTGCCCAGCGTTTTGCAACCTGCACGGCCCGTGCCAACTTGCGTCCAGGGGAAGGGTTGAAATCAGGGTTTAAAGTTTTCAAGTTTGCTCTGGTTCATCATTCCCCGCTCTGGGTCACCAATCCCTGCTCTGATCCATCATTCCCACATCCCAGGACCACCCCAGGGAATTCCAGGAGCTCCTGGGGTGTGAGCAGAGCAGCCAGCACTGCCCAGGGCAGGGAATGCACCTCAGCTTTGGGGTGGGGGCTGAAATAAATTTGTCTTTGCCCCTTCCAACCTCCAGCCCTGAGGAGCAAGGTGGGAACAACTCTCTGAGGTGGGGTTTGCAGAGGGCAGAGATCTGGGCAGCCCTGTGCTGATTGTTGCTCTTTTATTTGCATTTTCTCCAAGGCAGCCGTCGCGGAAGCACGAACATCTCACCCATGGAGGAAAACACACCAGGATCCCATCCCTGCTCTGGATGGGGACCTGCTCCTTTGGGAGCAGCACTGATGGGCTGAGGAGGAGCAGAAGGGGGGCTCAGGGTGTGTGTGTGACCCCCACCCCACCCAGCCAGCCCTCAGAACCCTCCTGCACTGGGGGAATCTGTTCCCCATTAAGCGGCTGTGGCTGGTGGGAGCAGCCCTGGCAGCTCCACGCTCCCTAATTAGCAGCAGACACGAGGCCAGGCTGGGGAAGGCCAGAACCTCCGTGCCAAGGATGCAAAGGGTTTGGAGCAGAGCCCGTGGAACTGCTCTGAGCGACCCTGCCAGTGCCACATGGGGCCCTGATCCCGTTTGTGCCAGGCCGGGCAGGGATGTGCATCCCACCCCTCACGGCTTCACCCCAAACCCAGCACCCCCAGCGCTCCCGGCGGGGTGTGGGGTGGAGGAAGGCTGCCCGCACCATCCTCTGTGCCTCCTCTGTGCACTTGCACCACGCTGGGCTCTTGCTCACCACTAAAAATAGGATTCCCGGCTGAGCTACAGTGCTGGAGGGCAGCGAGCCCAGATCCCCAGGCAGCCACTGTCACTGTGACCAACTGACCCATTTGGCCCCGGTTTTTGAGTGATTTTCCCTCCTCACTCAGCCTCAGCCTCAGCCCAGGCAGCAGCCTTTCCAAGGGCAGCGAGACCCCAGAGTGGGGTTGTGGTCCCTCACATGGGTGGGGGTCCCAGCCAGGGCAGGAGTGGCCAAAACCACCCCAATTCCAAGAGCAGCAAACTCACCAGCCCCAGCCCTTCCATAGGAATTTGCATAATTTATTTTCTCCTTTGGGTAATTCGTGCTCTGGGGCTGGTGAAGCAGGTGACATCCCAGGGATGGTGGGACAAGAGCCAGGGTTTGTCCCAGGGGGGGCCAGGACACTCCAGGACCTCAACCTGCGGTTCCCTGGAGCCAAGGACACAAAGTCCTCTTGCATTTTCCTTCCCAGCCAACAGGATCACCCTGGGAGCTTTCACTGACCTGTCCCATGTCCCCAAAGCCAGCTGGGAGCAGGATGGGCTGCAGGGACAGGGGACACGGAGCCTCTGTCTCCAGGGAGTGCCCTGCAGAGCACGTGCTGGGCCAGCTGCCAGTCAGAAATGAAGAAAAACCTTTATTTACAGTAAAAAGGAACAAAAAAAAAATCTATAAAATACCGTGACACTTCCCTTCCCGTCTCTCCCCACCACCTGTCCCTGGGATGGTGGCATGGGGACAGCAATGCTGGGGTCATTTGGCACCAGTTGAGCCACCATGCCTGGGACACATTGGGGACACAAGGGGGACACACAGAGCTCAATGACAGGAAAAGTTTCTTGCAGGAGGGGCTCAGGCTGTGGGTATTGCACTTGGCAGCCAGGCTGGGCACAGAGGGCAGGGGGCTGACAGGACGTGTCCCCCAGTTTGGGACCCCACAGTGGGCTGGTCCCAGTCCCCAGGGGTCACCCAGCCTTGGTGGTGTCCCTGCTCTGTGCCACCCCCTGTAACCCCCTTGGAGCACTGTCCTGGGGTGGTGGCAGTGGGATGGGCTGTCCCCAGTGTCAGGCTCTGCAGGATGGGTGTCCCCAAGGCTGTCCCCAGTGTCAGGCTCTGCAGGATGGGTGTCCCCAAGGCTGGGCCCTAGGGTGGCTCTGCAGGACAGGCTGTCCCCAAGGCTGGGCCCTGGGATGACTGGGATGGGCTGTCCCCAAGGCTGGGGTGGTTCTGCAGGACGGGCTGTCCTCAGGGTGGTTCTGCAGGACGGATTGTCCCCAATGCTGGGCTGGCTCTGTGGGACGGGCTGTCCTCAGTGCTGGGGTGGCTGACGGGCTGTCCTCAGGGTGGCTCTGCAGGATGGATTGTCCCCAATGCTGGGGTGGCTCTGTGGGACTGGCTGTCCCCAAGGCCAGAACCTGGGG